TCTAACATTCCATCATCTTATGTGAATAATTTCATAGAAAACTCCTAGCCTTTACCCCCTGATTTCCTTCTGTTATAAACCAAACAGATAACCGTACCATTCTCCTCCCTAATAATGCAGAAAATATTACTTTACCCATTAAACAATCCTCTAGATCCTCTCATCCTCCTTAATATCTAAAGGATTGTCACTATTATTCTACTGCATCTAATCATCTATCAAATATGTTATACCCTTTATCATCTGTTATCACTTATGAACACTCCTCACCTTCCTATAAACATTTCTGTTATTTTGTTTCATCTAATATTGAACCAAAAGCATTCAACTAAGCTATTAAGATGGATTGTTGGAAGCATGTTATGGATGCTAAACTATATGCTCTTGAAGAAAATCAAACATGGAGTGTGGTTGATCTTCCACCAGGAAAAGTTCCCATTGGGTGTAGGTGGATTTACAAGATAAAGTACAAGTCAGATGTCTCCATTGAAAAATATAAAGCTATACCAGTAGCTAAAGGTTACCCATAAATGGAGGGTATTGACTATTTTGATACTTTTCACTTGTAGCCAAGATCACAACTGTGAGAGTTCTTCTATCCATTGATGCTATCAAAGGCTGACATCTTGAACAGTTGGATGTCAACAATGCCTTTCTACACGGTGACTTGCATGAAGAAGTCTATATGGCACTTCCTCCTGGAATCTCCATTCCAAGCCTTCTCAGGTATGTAGACTGCAGAAATCCCTATATGGACTTAAATAGGCAAGCAGGTAATGGTACTCTAAACTCTCTTCTTTCTTAATCTCTTTAGGTTATTCCCAGTCACAAGTTGATCACTCCTTATATGTGAAATCTCATAAAGATTGTTTTACTGTAATTTTGGTTTATGTGGATGACATAGTTATAGATGGAAATTCTATGCCTGAAATCCAATATATTAAAATTGTTCTAGATCAAAAATTCAGGATAAAAGATCTTAGTCATCTTAGATTCTTTTTGGGGTTTTATATTGTTAGGTTAACAAAAGGTATTTTTATGAATTAGAGAAAATACACCCTTGAGTTATTAGAGGACACATGTTTCGTTAAAACCAAACCTTTATCCATTCCTTTTGATCCTAATCTCAAACTTTCTCCCACTTATGGTGAACTCTTAGCAGGTCCCACCATATACAGGAGATTAATAGGTAGAATAATCTACTTGACAAATACTAGGCCTGACATCTCTTTTACAGTGCAACACTTAAGTTAATTTGTATCCAAGCCTCTTGTGTCCCACTATCAAGTAGCTACTGAAGTGTTAAGATTTTTAAAATCTTCTCCTGCCAAAGGTGTACTTTTTCCAGCTTCAAGCTCTCTCAAACTATATGCTTTTGCTGATTCTGATTGGTCTAGATGTCCCACCACCAGAAAGTCTATTAGTGGTTTTTGTGTCATTCTTGGATCATCTCTTCTATGTTGGAAATCAAAGAAACAAAATATTGTCTCAAGATCTTCAATTGAATCTGAATATAGAGCTTTAGCCTCTCTCACCTGTGAAATACGATGGTTGTAATATCAGTTCAATGACCTTAAGATTCATTTCTCTTAACATGCCTTTGTATACTGTGACAGTGAGTCTGCTATATACCTTGATTATAATCCTACTTTCCATGAACGAAGCAAACATATTGAATTAGATTTCCATGTGATTCAATAGAAAATAAATTCTAAACGGATACATTTGCTTCCTATTTCTACTACAGCACAGATAACATATGCCTTTACCAAACCTCTGCATTCTCCAGCTTTTTAATCCATCATGCCAAGTTGAGACTCTGCAGTCTACACGGTCCAACTTGAGGGGGCATATTAGAATATATTTGTAAATAGATATATTATTTTTCCCTTTTTGTATATAGATAAGATATGTAGCTTCTGGTAGTTAGTTATTGGCCATATTGTTCATGTATATATAGCTTTATCTTGTACAGAAATAATAAGAAAGTGTAACAAATTTTTTCTCATCTTCTTCATCGATGCCTTCTACTTTCCATATTGCATCGATCCCGTTATTCAATTATAAACTTTCTGCCATTATTGACATGGTATCAGAGCCGGGTTGGAAATCCATACTTAAGGAAGCATGTTTCAATTGTATGATTCATCCTGCCGCAATGTGTACAAACTCTATTGTTACCTCTTGGAGCATTAGAACTTTGATTCTTTGCGCGAAAGTTGTTTGTACCATGCTTAGTAGTGTAATTCACTTCACACGTTTGAACTTCTAAAGCATAAATTTCTTCATTTGAGCCTGCAGAGGAAATCATACTAGATGGAGAATTATCCATCTCTCTTTCTTGTTGAATAACAAGTGAGAAAGCTTTGTAAATGTCAGGTAATGGGTTCATCATCATAATTTGAGAATTAGAATGCGCAAATTTCTCAGTTAAACCTTTGAGAAAACGTATAACGTAATATTGTTCTCTATACCTCTTAATTGATGCAATAGCACCACGGGAACAAGGAATAGCGCAAGAACATAAAGGAATTGGGCGATAGTTCTCCAATTCGTCCCACATAACTTTCATCTGAGTAAAGTAATTAGAGACGTCGAGAGTACCTTGTATGAACTTGTAAAGATCCTCTTGAATGTCAGAAATGTGGAAGATATCGCCGTGAGAAAACCTAATCTGCAAGTTCTTTCATACGCCAGCGGCATTGTAAATCCATAGGACTGATTTGACTATAGATTCTGAAATCGATCGTTGAATCCACGCGAGGACCATGGTATTGCAGTGAATCCATGGTGCATACAAAGGATCCAAAACATGCGGCTTAGTAAGGGTTACATCAATGCATTTCTCCTTGTTCTTGGAGATTAGGGCTATTTCCATTGATCGAGCCCATGTGTGATAGCTCTTATCGGTGAGTGCCGGCGTAACAAGAACGAGTGTTGGATTCTCATTCGGGTGAAGATAAAACGGATTTGCAGAGTTGATTGTGAAATTGGCGTAGCTTTGATTCTTTCATTTAAAGAAGCAAAAAATAGGGAGAAAACGCGATCTAAAAAGAAACGCAAGAAGAAAGAAATGGAGGAATGAAGACGTTGCTCACAAGAATCAGCGAGGTGGATCGCATAAAACAATAGCTGCCAGAGCTTTTGAACCTCTGATACTATGTCAATAATGGCAGAAAGTTTGTAATTGAATAACAGAATCGATGCAATATAGAAAGTAGAAGACATCGAAGAAGAAGAAGATGAAAAAAAATCTATTACACTTTCTTATTATTTCTGGACACGATAAAGCTATATATATACATGAACAATATAACCAATAACTAACTGCCAACTAAGCTACATATCTTATCTATATAAAAAAAAAGGGAAAACTAATATATCTATCTACAAATATATTCTAATAATTATATTTCTTATCTATGAGAGATTGGTTTAACAATTTTTAATAAAGATAATCTTCAATCTATATCTTCTCAAAACTAAAATCTGCATTATCAAACTTTAAATTTTCCAAATTTTCACAACAAAATTAATAAAAGGAACACTAACACTCTCAAGAAAAAAAAATCTCAACCAATTTTGATACAATTATTGCAAATGAGAAACAACGACATTTATAACTAATAAAAATAATGTAAGGAGAATTTCTCTCCTTCACTCTCCATCCATTCTTTTAAGTAGTGGTATTTAAAACTGAATTAGTCTAATAAAAAATCGTAAATTGAATTAAATTAAATAAAAAATTGTAAAAAACCGTATTTGTTTTGGATGTGTTCGATTTGTGGTTTGTATTTTACAATTGAATCAAACCGAATCAAATCGCATTATATTACAACTCAAATTTCACTTAACTCACATTCAATCTAAACTTAAATTTATTATTCTTTAACTTTACAATTACGAACGATTTTCTCTTTCTCGCACTTATAATTTCAATTTCAACCCTCTCAATTTCAAACTCAAATCTCTTATAATTTCAATTTCTCTAATCCTTACTCTCTTATATTTTTTCTTTTTCACCTTCTCATTTTTATACTAGTATTCTCTCTTTCAATTTCGTTATTATCTCACCTATTTTTCTCTAATATCTCTTCTCTTTTATTCTTTTTTTTCATCTTCCTTAGTCTCTCATCTCCTTTATTTTTTGTTTCATTATAATATTTTTGATATTTTTTATTCTATTGTTTTATTTTTATTATTACACTTTTGTCTATTATGTTTTTTATATTATTAAATGGGAAGTTGAGGTCTAAATATGATGAGTTTTACATATATATATATATATATATATATATATATATATATATATATATATATATATATATATATATATATATATATATATATATATATATATATATATATATATATATGACTCAATATAATATTTGAAAAAAAGTGAACCAAACCAAACCAAACTAAAAGTCAATCGAACTAAACCAAATCAAACCACATACTTTTTCTCTTACAATTTAGGTAATTTTTTACGTCAAAACCGTTCAAACCACACTGAAAACACCCCTACCCTTATGTCCTAAATACGTTTTCTTCTATTTACTATTTATTTCCTTTTATTTCTTTCTTATTATTGTTGACGAATACATAGCTCTAACTTATATTTTCCTTACAAATATCTCTATTAGGAGTGAACTTAAAAGATATTGTTGTAGTCATATTTACAGAAATAAATTACAAAGAGATCACTAGATTTAATTTCATTCACTTCCTCCAGTTTATATAAATTACAAATTAGATGCAAAGCAAAATATGTAACTGATAGAAATTTGTCTCATTAAAGCATGAATTTTGTGTTCTATTCCACCATCAAATTTTCTTTATTTATAGAGAAAATCATGTCACTTGGTAAAAGAAAATGATCAATATTGTCCCTTACAATCGACAACTCTCTTCATGTACATTGATAAACAGGCAAAGTAGTCAATCTTCTACACACTCTAGGATAATAGTTTCATGAAAGAATCAAGAAGCCAAAGAAATTATTCTGGCATGTGGATAACACAACGAAGACAGTTTCCTTGTTTCATGAGATTGAAAGCTTTGTTAATGTCATCAAATGCCAAATTGTGTGTTATGTAGTCATCAATCTCAATTTCCTGCATATTTATTTATCATACATAACATTAGCACATATTTTTATCATAACATTTATGATAAAACTTGTTTTACCTTGTTCACATATTTTTCTACTAGTGAAGGAAGATCAGTTTTAGGTTTCCATCCTCCAAATAGCGATCCTTTCAATGTTCTTCCTGTCAAGAATAGTCCGTAATGAGCTGACATCTCAGGCTTCACCTTCGGCACACCAAGTGTTACAGTCAAACCCCATCCCTATAACAAATATCCAAAGATAGAATCAAATTCAAGTCAGGCTCGTTGTTTAGATGAATAACTTAATTAAGCACTTATATCACGCAAGTGTTTATGTATAAGCAGCTTCTATGTGAGTTGAAGAATATAGAGCATTACATCACAACATGATTGCAATGCAGTTGTTATCATATCAGTGTCACCGACGCATTCAAAACAGAAATCGGCTCCACCATCAGTAATGCGCTTAATAACCTGAAATTTTCAACACAAAAATTAGTGTGACGGTCATTTATAAGATTATTTGAAAAGGTTTTAAATTGGATATTTTGTAATGAGATGATGGATCCACCTGCACGATAGGTTCATTGTACGAATTCGGATCAACAACTTCCGTAACCCCAAAAGATTTAGCTGTGGTGGCAAATCAACAAGAAAACAGATAGTAAACCAAGAGGTTATGATTTATGACAGGTTTTAAGGTTTAAAAATAAATTCGGAGAACAAATTATGTTACCATTTTCGCACTTCCGTGTATTGTTATCGACACCAATTATTCTAGATGCACCTCTTAGTTTAGCACCTTGAGCAACCTATTGAACATGAAAATTATGATTTACAAAATATCATATCATTCATCTGTTAAGAAGATTATAAGACCCCGAGAACACGAAGAGAGTTCATATATAGTTGTTGAGTGCTTGAACTTACAGAAAGGCCAACAGTTCCAAGACCAAATATAACGACTGTTGATCCTTTTGTCACATCGGCAACATTCCATGCTGCACCCAGACCTAATGCAAATTTGTCAAATAATCAATAACACAACAAAAAAAATACTCATTAATGGCAGTAGAGTTTCAATGCTCTCTATGAACTTTACCTGCAGAGACGCCACAGCTTAGAAGGCATATTTTGTCGAGAGGTACATGAGGACTAACTTTCACTACACATCCAGAATGGACAACTGTGTATTCGCTAAAACTTGAAACACCGCAATAATGATAAACAGGCTTCCCTTTTATTGAGAATCTAGTCTTTTGATCACTATGCATTAAACCCTTTCTTTCCAATCCCAAAACTTGACAAATATTAGTTTTTCCTGATTTGCACGGCTTGCATGACATGCATTCTCCAATGAAAACTGTTAGCACATGGTCCCCTTCTTTGAATTCAGTCACTCCTAGCCCTACACTTTCTACAACCCTGCAAAACCATTACACTGTGTCCATGATGCTACAGTCATGGTATGTTCTAAACTTTGGTATTACAGTAAAATAATGCGAACAAATCCAGACGATGAGGCTGCAATTGCGATTGTAGACCACAATTTAGAACTAAGCTACAATTATCCTTAAATCCAACACATACACAATGCAGTCTAACATCAGTAATAATATTCTGTTGTGCTGCTGCACCGTTATATTTTTTTATGGACCTGGATTAGTATCACGCGTTCACCATAGATATTAAGTTGCAATCCTTGGATGAAAAACATATATGATTCTTATTTTAAACTCGGTAAGTCGGATTTCAAAAGCTATTCAAAAATCCAAATGTGTGTTGTCCAATCTTGATCCAATGACTCTAATTAATCAATTGTGAAACTCTAAAAAAGGAAAATTGTTTCTAAGATCCTCCTCTAGTAAAATAACAAAAGGATCACTATCAGTAATGAGTCATTGTCAAATTAAATCAAAAATAGAACATGAAGTGTAGATTACCCAGATGCTTCATGGCCAAATATGCGAGGAAATATAGCCTGCATTTAGAAAAACACTTTATGTCAGATGTTAATTATTTAGTTCCATATTCATCGGCCGGCATACTCTTGAGGAAATAATGGAACTGACATAGACATAGTTAATCATTAATCTAGTCAAACAAAATCTTGATTGGTACTTATATACATTGTCTCATAGATGAAAAAAAAAACGTTATTCAATTACATCTCTCAAGGAAAGGTCAATGTTTACAGAAATTAATGATATTAAAAATGATAAAATTGAAAAAGAAAAAGTTACATGAGATTCCCAAGCAGAGAGATCACTGCGACATAGAGAGGTGGAGAGAACCTTAATCCTAATCTCGAATGGTTGGGGAGGACTGACTTCTACATCCTCCAGTACCAATGGCGCTCCCGCTGCCCATGCCACTGCAGCTGTTTGATTCATAAACAATGGACATATATAGGTCATACATACATAGATAGATATCATAACAAAAAGGACATGGTAAAGTGAACTCAAATTCACCTTTGCAGGTTATGACTTGAGGGGTTGACGATGCCATGTCTAAAGAAAAAGATAAATTGTTGATGGGATTGTATCCTCATACTGGTTGGTAGTTGAGTTGTTGGGTCATCAACTATATAACTATTAATATAACATGCTATTAAACTATAATATTTTTTTTTTAATTAATTGCATTACAAAAACAGAGTATGACTATTTACATAAAAATTAATATAATCAGATTCTCTATTCAATAAAATATTTGACACTTGACAATATAAAATTAATTTTTCATTTCAAATTATATTTTTCTCTTTTTATAAATTAAATTATTTCTATTATTTATTTTCCCTATTAAATACCACACACGTTTCATAAATTTTAAATTATATTCATTGACTATCTCATTCTTCTTTTAAATTAAATTTTTATTTTTTTAAATATTTTTTTCTCTTTTCATTTTATTATTTTATCTTTTTTATTTAATTATTTTATTTTCTCCTAATTATTTTTAATATATTTAAATATATAATTATAGTATATGATTATCATTAGGGATGACAAACAGACATGCCCGTTCCGTTTAAGTCCGTCTTGCAAAAGCTCGTAAAAAATGGAGTGGAACGGAGCGGTCTTAATTGAGAATGAGGGTCTAAATTCTAGATTTGTTCCGCAAAAAGTGAATACGGAACGGAGAAAACTCGCAGACACTACACAATTTAAGTCTAAAAATGCAAAATTTCATGTAAATAGTCGTACCCAAAAAAGCCCGCGAAGAAAACGGGACGGGACAGACACATTAGAGAATAAATGCATAAATTCTTGGTCCGTCCTGCACAAAAGTGTAGGCAAAACGGACATGCCCAACAGACCAGACCCGTTTTACCACCCTTAATTATCATCATCATATATATATATATATATATATATATATATATATATATATATATATATATATATATATATATATATATATATATATATATATATATATATATATAACAATGTTGAGATTTAGTAAATAGCCCTACACACAACTAATTTTTCAACTCACATATCACTATAAAAAAATACATACTTTATTTCAATTAATATTTTTATTATTTGAGATATAAAATGTTTATTTTTAAATATTAAATTTTTTTTTTCTCACATGTCATTATCAGGAAAATAAATATTTTATTTTTATTTGAGACAAAAATTCTTATTTTTAAATGTCAAATTTTTTTTTATGGAAGATATCAACAAAATACTTATTTTATTTTAATTAATTATTTTTTAATTTAATACACAAAATTCTTATTTTTAAATATCAAAATTTCTCTTTTTTTCACGAGAAAGTATCAGTAAAATACTTATTTTATTTAATTAACAATTGTTTTTATTTGAGACACAAAATTCTTATTTTTAAAATTTAAAATTTATATTTTTTTCACATGTCATTATTAGTAAAATGTCTATTTTATTTTAATTAACAATTATTTTTATTTGAGACATAAAATTTTTATTTTCAAATATCAATTTTTATTTCCTTTCTTCATTTTATAAATATTTTTTTATAATTATTTAATTTAATTTATATTATTATTATTATTATTATTATTATTATTATTATTATTAATAATAATAATATTAATTGTAAGATTAAATATACGATACCTATGTAATATATCCGAAGTTTGATTTATCTTTTATAAAAAAAATTAAATCACTCTTTTAAAATAGTAAAATTTTATATCTTTTATCTCCTTCAATTTTTTTTTCCACAGAGATACATCAAATTTATCTATATTACAGTAGAACTAACCTTTAATTTTATAATTAAATAATTAATTTTAAATTAAACGTATTTTTGTTAGTTGAAGAAAAAAATAAAACCAGTTGGAAATTTTTCCGGTAGAATTTTAACCGGACGAAACCCACTTAAGATCTTTACCCTTCCAATTATTTTTAATTCATTCTAACTCTATATGTAAAATACAATGAACGGTATCCGCATTAATTATTCCATTTGACCAAATCATTGTTTTTGGTTATATATAATTTTTTATTTCCAACAAAAAAACAATGAACGGCTGAGATCTTATTCTAAAGAAATATCACTATAAAGGATTTGTTCTTCAAAAGGCATAAAATAATTGCATTGAAATTTTAAACTCAATTATATTTATTTAAAATCATAATAAAAATAAATTTGTTAATCTAACATTTCACAATAAAACTAGTAACAAACCCGTGCTATCGCACGGGTCTCGTCTGAATTCACATTATGTAAACTATGTTGGCATTTAACTCCATATTTGTAGCAAGCGTCGGTCCTATCAATAAATCACGTCTGCATGAACAAATAGGAAAAATTATATACTTCTTAAAAAAAACAATGATATTTATGCTCTAAGATATCCGTGCTATCGCACGGGTCCCGTCTAGATTCACATTATACGTTGTCAAATCTCATTTGTCAAGTTTGAATATATTTTTTTAGTTGATTAACATTCACATAGTTACAAATATAGACTAATAATATGCATCAACTTTTAAATTAAGAAATAAAAAGAACTCTTATAAAGAACTCTTATATTAATATATTTGACCAAAAGAGTATTAAATCTTTAATGTTAATTTGATTTTATTAAAAAGATTCTACAATTTAGTCAAAAATGAATTCTATACTGAATTAATATAAAACAGTAGCAAAAGAATTATTTAAAAGATGAACATTAAAATGAACAGTTTACGGTTGATATTTATAGATACGTTCACATTTACCTGTGGATCTATGCCTGTAAAGTCCTTCATTAAGATGAACAATCTACGGCTATTAAATTGAGAAATAAAATGAGAAATAAAAAAGAAATCTTAGATTAATATATTTGACTAAGAGAGTATTAAGTCTTTATTGTTAAATTATATAATATAAGAATTGAATAAGAAACAATTAATAGAAGAAAACTATAGAGTTAGCAAAAATGTAATTTAAGTGTCATAATTTAGAATTAGTAAAAAACATTAATTATATATAAGAAAAAAATAGAATAATTTGAAATAGTATATTCTGAAAATAGCAATGAAAAGTCTTTAAAAATGACGTTTAGAAAACCGGTGCATTAGAAATTAATATGAAATTAACAACATTAAATAGTAAGAAACTCGTGTTATCATACGGTTACCGTCTGAATTCACATTATACGTCTCTCACTCTCATTTATCAAATTTGTATATATTTATTCAGTTAATTAACATTTATATAGTTACAAACATAGAAAGCGCATTGAACTCGTGTGTCTATTTATAAAAAAATATTTGTAATTTATTCCGATTTATAATAATAATTGAATAATAAATTGAATTTTTTTCGTTTATAAAAATATTTGTAACTTATTCTAGTTTAAAAAAATTATTGTAACTTATTTCCGTATATAAAAATATTTATATCAACATATAGACTTTTTCCCGTTTATAAGGGACTTGAACCCGTGTGATAATTTATAAAGTAAAATTTAATTTATTCATGTTAAAAATAATTGTTTTAATACTTCAATTTTTATCCTTTATAAAAATATTTGTAACTTATTCGCGTTTATAAAGTTATTCTAACTTTCTTTGCGTTTATAAACACATTGAACTCGTGTGTCCATTTATAAAAATATTTGTAAGTTATTCTCTTGTATAAAAATAATTGTAACTTATTCCGTTTATAGAAATAATTGTATCATTAAATTTTTACTTTTTATCATTAATTTTTTATGATTACCATTTATCATTAAATTTTCATGACTACCATTTAATATTTTTTATCATGATTACCATTGAAAAGATTCTCATAAATTTTAGTTATTTAATAAGTTTTAAAAAATTATAGAATTTCAATTGATTTTATTTTGTTTTATTAAACTTTTTATAAAAATATAAATTATTTTAAAATATATCAATAGCATTCAAAATGATATAGTTTTTTCTTAAAATACTTTTTAAATACTATTTAAAATTATATCAATATTATATATTTTATTTTCATTAATTCAATTTAATTGAATTTCAATGAATCGATTAATTTTTTGAAAATGATCTAATTGAATTAATTGATCAATTAACTCTTTGTAAAGTTATGATACGTATAATAGTTTCTTTCAAAAATATTTTCTTAAGAAATATTCAAAATAAAGTATTTTAAGAAATATTAATAAAAATGAGACGATTTTTATTAACATTTCTTAAAAATACATGCTTTTTAATAATATTTCATAAAAATACATGATTTTTAATATATTTTAGTAACAAATATTATTTAAACTATAATAATACTTACTTAAAATTTTAAACAAATCACAATTTTGCTAATATTTTTTAATAAATTTGTTTTAAAATGATAGAAAATTTTATCGATTTTAATGATTCACTTTATATATTTAATTTCAAGTTAATCATTACTCATTTTAGAATATTTATTTTTTTGAAAATTATTTTATCATTTTGCAATAAATCATTAATCATAATTTATATGATTTTAAGATACTTATAATCATAAATCATAATTATTTTATCAATTAATCATAATACATAATTTATAATTGCAATAATTCAAATTTTAAACTCAAATGTACTTTTCCATATTCCCAGGGACAGACCTTTTGAACCTTCATCATATATACATTCTCTTTAATTTGTATTTACAACACACTTTGTACAACTGATTCATTGTATTCTAAATTTACAAAAAATAGATAGTGCATCTAAAAAAAACATAAACAACAAATGAGAGGAATAGATATAAATAAATAAACCGTGAATGAAACATTGAAATTGGAATTCAAATATAAATAAATTAACCGTGAATGAAACATTGGAATTGGAATTCAAATATAAATAAAATTCAAATATAAATAAAATAAATTAATAAATCAAATAAATAAAAAATAGTGTAAAATTATGATAGATTGACATGTCAGCAAAATTAAATGTTTGAGCCATTGATATCTTTCACAGCTTCAATCGGTCGCGCCATTGATGTTACTATTTACACCTGTTACAAAATCTATATTAAAATGGACACAGAGA